TATATATATAATCTATATCTATATCTATATCTATATATACTAAATGATGATCATTATTGTGCTCCTACTGTGTTTATTCACGTACACAAATTATTCGTGGTTGTTACGATGTTATGAAAGATGCTTATCGGCATAATAATGCAACGGTGTGAATTTATGCCCAGTTTCAAAAGAATGACGAAGAAAAAAGTAAAACCGTTTCTCGAATAAAGGGACGACTTAGCAATGCCAACAGTTACAGCGACTATGCTGATTATACGCTTGATGATCACATTCTAAAAGATTGTCTTTTATACACGAAAAATGTTGCATCTTTACCAAGTACCTTTTTAAGCTTCCAAACGATCAGGCTTTTGGCCGTATCAAAAAGTACCTCGTCGACAACTACTGTCGTTTTCGGTTAGGCGCAATCGAAAGCCTTTAGAAGGGTCGTGCACAAATCAAAAGAGATTTAATTAAACACTGCAGCGCGACAAAATCAACCCTTTCTTCAAATTAGACAAAGTCGATCTTGTTTTAAACGTAGCGAAATGCTGCAGTAAAAATGGACGATTCTACCGTATTAAGCAAAAACAGCTCCGGCTAAAGATGATATTCCAGACACCGTTTGTAATGCTAGCGTCCGTTTTTCAAATGGCCTTAGATATTTTGCCAAGTGGTTGTCTTGAAAGCGTCACTTAGTGATTTGGAAAAAAACATAAAACTGCCACACGTGTGACAAGGATTTCTACACATAGTCTATGTAAGAGACAGTACTGTGACAAAAATCAGCTTCGACTCGGCTAAAAGAGTGAAATCCTTAAAGAGCCGCGTACAGCACAATGTAGTTGAAGAAAGAACGAGGCTTCTTCAGTACGTGCTACTGACATGCTGATGGGTGCAGGATAACACAATATACTTGCTATTCCTACTAGATGTGGCCTTTTGAAAACGAAATTAATACAACAAGTCACTTATTCATATTCTCAGCTGTATTAATTTTGGTTCAAGGCACGAGACAACGTAAGTTCCAAGTTGATCTGCAAGCGATGGCATGTTCAAATGAATGAAATTCGCGGCCTTCCTGGCGTTCTGCAACGCCACTGCTTTATTGCCTAACTAGTGTATATTCATATATGGTACATACACATCTACATGGCTGCTGAGAAAATAAAGGTGAGTTAGGGGGTAAAATTGAATTCCCTAAGTCCAAGAAAATATAAACAATGTATACGAGCTGAATGATCAATGCAAGAGAATATAACAATTCTAATCTAACAATAAATCGACGTGTTGCACATGCATAATGGCTGTCATCATATGTTCGAATTTCATGTAGAGCGACAATTGCACGACTATTACTATTTCTAACGACAACGGCATGATTGTTTCTGCGAACAGTCAACTGAGTGGGCAACAAATTACACAGGGTCATTTTCATGCGTAATTGATGAAAACAAAATGTAGGAGTGCATAGAGGGCGCTCAACCCGATGATTCGATGTCTAATTGGTAATAATAGAAATTACTATATAATAATATACTAGTAATTACTGTAGTTGATATCGCTACTTAAAGGAGGAATAGGACGAGTGAAAAACTACACTGATGAAACATCTCTGTTCACATAACTAAATTTGTCTGGAATTGATCTGTACCTTTCTTCGACCCTGAGCGGCTTGCTAGTCTAAACCGGCAATGGTCTAAATTTGGTCAGCTGGACTTTTAGTTTGAGCTAGCAACAACAGTGTGGTGATGGAACGAATTGTTCATCAGCTTTCTTCTATCATTTATTGAAGACATACATCGACAAACCAATAAGAGTCTAACAAAGTGTGCGGAAAAAAATCAAATGATTGTTAGAATGTACTAGTTTTGAAAAGGATATCGAGCAAGTACGTCTCGATCAATGTAACGGACATATCGAAGAAAGCTGTTTTTATTTTTCATTTCATGGAAATCACCCGACGATTCTTTGATGCTTTTTCGTTTTGGTTGCGTGCGTACCCAGTGTTTCCAGACAGAGTGTCAATCTACCGGCTATTTAAAATTGTTGAGAATTCCCGTTAAATGCGTTCATCTTTAATAGTTTAGTTGAATCGACCACTAAGCCCATGTGTGCGTGTCATAGAGTGCCATTTATTTACATAGTTTCAGCTGGGTTTATCTCTGGCGTGCGTACAAAGCAACAGATGTGTTAGCGTATCCTGGTAACGTAAAATAACTCAACGATCGAAAGGGACTCGAATGTGAACCGACTATATCCGTACAAAAACGCCTATGTACATACAAATACCCGTTAACTTCCTGCGCATTGAAGCTATGTAGCGAGTTCGTAAAACCAAATACTAATCTTGATAACGTAGAATAATATGACAACACATATGATTTTCCAGCCTTGAGACATATACCGGCGTATCTCTACTAAGCGTTAGAGAAGGCTAATCTAAGAAAAATAATAGCTGGCGGGATCCTTGAGAGGCCCAATTTGGAAACGATCAAGCAATCTGTATGTCGTAGTTGAAGACTGAACACGAATAACAAATGGCCTAAGATGAGTAATCCGCACAGGCAAATGCGATTCAGACTATTGGATTAATAATACTTATTTTTTAGATCTATGATGACATGAAGTGATCCATTGTAATCGATTTTACCTACCTGCCACCAGGCTCAATGCCGTAAAATAAATTCTTTGGTGCGGCTGAATAGGAACGAATCAAACACGTCATGTGTGATATCCATCCTGTGCTTGTGTTTTCACAATGATTTACGGACACAAAACCCGTCTATTGCTGGAGATATCCACGAGCAAATCTGCTGTCTAGTTGCAGAAAAGCCCAAACTCTTTATTGTATTACGCTATCAGTGCAATCCCAGCCGCAATGAGAATCTGTATGGGCAATATGAAAACAAAAAATGCAGAAGTAATCTCAGAGAAGCTAAAATAAACTGTTATGCTTCTTGATTCCAGTCCATAGTCAACTATACCCGCTGATCCTGTGTAGGATCACGTAACAGGCAATGATCACGACCCGGTTAGAGGTAGTAGTCCAGGTGAGGTAGGTTGTTTGTTGGATTTACTCAGAAGCAGGTTCATCCGGAAAAAAACTATGTGCGGGTAGTGCATACGAAAAACCTTTCTCTATCTTTTGATGCAGATATGTAAAAAAAATTGACTACCCGACCTAAGCTGATGACATGATAGCGTGTATGGGTGTCTAGAGCTAACAACGCCAATGATAATTTTCCAAGTGCTTTGAGTTTTACGTCTGGTCGTGAGACATACAACGGAACGCATTAACTCCCGGTTTCGAACCTAAACCAGCTTGTACATCTGCGTGTTGGTAGACAAATAGCTTACTATTGCATCATCGCAGAGACGATGTTGATGCTCTATTAACACTTATTAGGCACTCTGGTTATTCAAATCAAGTTTCTGTTTAGGTATCTCACACAAATTTGTGACATCATTTTATTCTAGATTCATAAATTCTCAGTCCTCTTTGCTGTCCTAAGAACTTCAATTGCAAATAAGGTAGTCACGTGACGGTGTGATTCTGCTTGACGCTAAAGCCGGCGAAACAAGTTTATTCTCCGCACAACTTCCGCAGAAAATTGAAATTAGATCAATTTAATGATCTTCTACAGGTTTTTTATTTTCGTAAACGCAGTTACTTTATCTAGCGTGTTGCTATATTAAAACGGCTTGTCGTAGTTCTCATCGCTTCGACATTCATGCTTGCGGAAGCTATTTTTGCGATGTGCTGCATATAGTCATAGAGAAATAACATCTTGTTGTAGTTCGTTTTAGAATTGGTTTATACATCACTAGAAAAAATCAGACTGAGCTTTATTTGGGTGAGTGCAGCATTTTGGCTATGATACCCAGTCCATCGTTAGGTTTATGACATCATTAGTCATACGACAAAGTTGCGAGTCGGCTAGTTTCTCTTCACTCACCGTGACAATCGATCACTCAATTTACAAATGCAAGCACTAGGCGGCCGAGTAGGCAACCACAACCGGAAAGACGTAAATATGACTAGCAGAATCGATACGGACCTCTACATAAGCTGTTGTGCACGTGTGTTGATGGAGTGGGAACTCCAATTAGGAGGATCACACAGTGATGGCTCGCTATCAGTGCTTTTCTCTTAATCAGGGGGACTCTCAATGAGAAACACAGCAAGAGTAGTCTAGATTGGAAACTGGGAGTTAACAAACATGTAATTCGTTTCATGGTGGGTGGAGTCACCAACCGTCTGAAGCAGCGATGCTTCGTTACGGCAGTAGAACCGGCCTGGAAATTAGTCGAAATATTTTTAGAAGGTTCACGGTAGTTCATATCAAATGGATCAAAGCCCTTCAACTAGAAACTGCTCGTAGCTCATCTACGAAATCTTCGTGACAGTGCAGTGGTGACGTGCCTGCCTACTGAACTCAGGCTCATCAACTGACATCATCTACGTTCGAAACCAGGGGTAATTCGTCTGAAGCAACAATACTTCATTACAGGAGTAGAACTGCTGGCACTCTTTTTTTTTTTTGTTTATTTGACACTTTTCTAGGCGTATGTGCAGATGCGGTTTTTGGGTGTCCTTTTATGAATGACCTTGTTCCTATGGCAAATGTATACAGTGGGACAATGAAAAAAAAAACTAGCTGTATCGTGCCAATGTACGGCGAAATATATGTAGGGATTGCCTCCATAGGTATCGGTTGTTAAATTTAGAAAATTATATATATGAATTTCTTTACGGCACTTGTTCTATCAAGGAGGCGAGCCGAATTGTTTTAAACGAAATCGGTTGGCAGTAAGCTGAAATAACGTCTGGCACATATAAAAAGATGCAGACAATTCAAGAAACATATAATGGCCTTATGATTATTATTATTACCATTAACTAAAGGGG